TTCCTTAAAACTTGGTGCAAAATTTTTTTTATACCGTATAGTGTTTATCTCAGAGGGCAATGAAGATAACGTTGAAGACTATATTTGGATGTAAGGAGAGGACAGGAGGAAGGACAGTGATGTCAGAAAAAAAGCCTGAAAATCACCAGTACATGCTAGTACTGAGTTTCTTACTGGCCATCTCTCCTGTAATTTGTGATAAAGTAACACTAGAGAGCACAGAACCATTCAGTCCCTACTTGCGCAAGCAACCATGCCATATAATCTCCTTCCAGCATCTTTCTGTTTTGATAGCCAGAACCCTTTGTTTAATTCCCTTACCCTAGCTATATTCACAGTCAGTTGAAACTAACTGTGTTTAAATAAACCCGTGAGAACTGCTGCAGCTGCTTACTTGAGAAATTAACATTAGTCAAGGATTTCATGAAGTGTTAGCATACCCACAGATACCTTGGAGACTCATATACCTTCTGATTTTGGTGTTGCAACTGTTGTTTTTGGCATAAATGACTTTTTTCCTCTCTAATTTGGAGGAAGCCCTGGAAGCTCCAGCAGATCCTCAGAACACGAGGGTCTCTGCCCCAAGAAGCCCACTGAACACACTGCCATTGGTGGGTGCCTACAGAGGTCCCTACAAACCGCACCGTACCTCAACAGTAGCTTTCTCAACTCTAACCCCTGAGGATCAACATCAAACTATTTAGGGTAAGATGGACTTTCGCAGGGACATCCTGCAAATTAGCTTGGGTTGCTCAGTGACCTCTCCAGTTGAGTTTTCAGTTATCTCTAAGGATGGAGATTGACCTTTCTGGTCAACCATATGCCAACCTGGCATGCATGTCAGGTGATGAACACTAATCGAAACCTCAGCTGCTTTCACGATACCTCTTTGCTGATGCCTTCAGCATGATGGCATTTTTTCACGCAATATCCAAAATCACAAAGACGTCTTCTAAACAACCCCAACCCACAATGATGACAATGTTTTCATCTATCTGACCAAAGGGAGAAAAACCCAGCTTCACAAATATCTATTTAATGGGCATATGAAAGACATGGTTAAATTCAATCAGTTTTAACTTTGCTTTTTCCACGTATATCTAAGTACAAATTGACTTTTGTGTCATTCCTACGCTACATTGGTTTCCTGGCTTACAAAAAATACTTATCTATTCACAGCTGTTAAATTGAATTCTTTACTTGCTGTTATTCTATGCGAGTCAAGAGTATTGCCACCAAATAGCCTCAGGGGCACATAGCATGTTCCCATGTAAGAAGGTGAACTGCACGAGGTCACGGACAAGAAAGGGAGGGAAAAGCATGTGATCGAAGTACTGATTCTTCAGAAAAAGTCTCTGCAGTTCCAGGAGCCTCCATTGGCAAATGTACCCAGCCTACCAAAGTTTGCTTTCTCCAAACCCTGCCTTGCAAGTAAACAGAAGAGAGTTTGCTCATTTTCGTATCAAATTACACCCACACTCCTTCCTCCCCTTCACCTGCCTAACATCATTCCTGCTTAAAAAAAACCCATTTGTTCTTTCAGCTGCTCTGAGTGTGGTACCACGACAACAAGTGAGTAAATACCACTGCAGCACAAGGCTGAACAGGAGTTTATTATGGCAGCTGCTTTTGCGATGGAAGAGATACGGGCTTATAAAGCAGTAATATATGCACGTTAATTTTGCTATGTAAAGCTAAGCAAACAAATTACATGTCACAACGCTGGTGACTACAGGAAAAGTGGGAAAAATTGCGCAAAAAATACAGCAGCCGCATTAAGGAGGAAGAACCTTTGATTTTGTACCAAGTTCTGCCAAACGTACTCAATATTCGCGTAACAAAAAGCGAGCACTCCGCGATTGAGCGGCTGGGGAAGCGCTCTAAAACTTCAGAATTGCCTAATGGCCGGCTAGCGCATCAGGGACCTCCACCTAAAGACCGAAAGCCTCAAAAAAAGAAGAAGCATTTCTCTCAGAAAAGAAGCATCTTCCCACGCTGCCCGGGGATTTCGCAGCCCCTCCGATGTGCTTCAGCTCCGCTGCCCGGTACCGCTGACGCGTCCCCTCCCGTCAGGTCCAGACCCGCCAACTCTGTCAGTAACGCAAGCGGCTCAACATTTTACCGCACCGCCGCCGCAACCCCAGAAGGCACAAAACCCACAGGGGCACGCCGGCGAGCCCGGCGTTGCTCTCCCGGCCCGGTCACCCCTTCCTTCCCCTTCCCCTTCCCCTTCCCCTCACGGGGCGGCCGTCGCCCCCTCAGCGGGCGCGGGACAAGGCGCCGCCGCTTCCCCTCAGGCGCCG